AGAAATTTGTAAATCACGTTGAAACTTTGAAAAATAGAGGGCCAACTGCAGAACTATGGATTTTGTATTACAATATGGTAACATTGATTAAACAATTTATTGAAGCAGAAAGATCTGGAAATTGGGAGTTGCATTTAGATACGCTGCGCAAAATGTTGCCATTTTTCCACGCGACGGGACATTTTAGGTATGCCGAATCGGCACAAATTTATTTACAGGACATGTACGAGATGAAAGGCAAAATGAGTGCAAGCGAGTACGAAAAGTTTGTGACTGAAGGCTATTTCACCATTAGAAGGTCAGACAAATACTTTTGTGGGATATGGTCGGACATGTCAATTCAACAGATTTTAATGCGTGCTATGAAGACGAGGGGCGGTTTAACGCGCGGAAGGGGTGTCACCGAAGCAGTACTTGCTCGCTGGATATTAAATATGCCATCTCTCGCTGCGCTCACTGATGACATGCAAGGGTTTTTTAAAGTTTCTTTCGCTTCATCTGAGCAGCATATCGATGCTCGTCCGAGTAGAATTGAACGGGACTTTTTCGATTTAAATAAATTAATTCAATTTCTTGAAACTTACGATCCATTCCCAGAGTCAGAAAATATTTGTTGTATAACTTCAGGTGTAGAGGGCAACGAGAAAGTAAATGTACATAAGTCTAACGAAATAGGCATTCAATTGATGAAAAGTATTGTAGGGGGTGCGTTTGGTAAATTGAAATTCAAACGAGCAAATCGTGTTGTATCGTTTCAAAGTGCCAACACGGTCAAAGTCAATGGTGAAGATGTAGTGATTGATTCAAATCTTATTTTTCAAAGAATTAGTGAAGGTATGGAGAACAAACCAGAATTGGCAAGTTACTTTGAGTACGAACTAGCTCCATTTCCATCTTCTATTTTTTAAAACGGTTTATTGCGTAAAACAGAAAAACACAAACTTTACGAATCGTTTATATCATTGAATGACGAAGATATACCAGGCGATCGCGTTAACGTTATTGACGGAGGACTATTGATCCATAAAGTAATCTGGCCGAAAAATGCAACGTACGATGAAATTATAAATCAATATATAAAATTCGTGCAACGTTATGGAAAAAATAGCTACATAATTTTCGATGGATATCCGGAAGAAAAAAATAAATCAACAAAAAGTGTCCAGCGTGAACGCAGACATTCGCAATTTTCTACAACTATAAATTTTGAATTACAGATGCGGGCAACAATAGCACAAGAAAAGTTTTTTTCTAATGAAAATAACAAGCGTAGATTTATTCAAAAGCGAGAAATTATGTGAAGCGGGTTATCAAACTAAACAGGCTTATGAGGACGCGGATACGTTGATCGTTAAAACAGCAATCGATATAACAACTGACGTTAAACCAGCTGTTATAGTGGCTGAAGACGTGGATTTAATTGTCATTTTATCTTTACTTAATCACGGAAATAAAAAAGTATATCTGTTAAAACCGAGCAAAGGCGAAACCCTAGAGAAATGGTATGATTCAAATTCTTTCGCAAACGATAAATTAAAATATTTGTTAGGTTTCATACATGCTTTTAGCGGGTGCGACATTACCTCTGCTTTTTATAACCAGGGTAAAAAAAAAATTATTAAATTATTAAGTGATGACACAGATTTATATAATAATGCAATAGTATTTAATAATAAAGAATCTAGCAAGGAAGATTTACAAAAAGCAGGTTTGCCTATAATATCAGCGATGTATTCTAAACAGTTCGGGAAATTAAGATTACATGAATTAAGATATAGATTGTTCAAACAAAAAAAAAGCCAGTAAAATTATGTACCCTCCCACCAATTCAACATTTATATCGCGTTTTTTATCAAGTCCAGCAATGGTTTGGCAATGAGCTTGATCCTTCAGATTGGGGATGGTACGCGAATGAGGGAAAGTTAAAGCCAACGTATGGCCCAACTGAATTATTGCCACAAAACTTTTTGAAAGATATTAGTTGTCATTGTAAGAAAGGGTGCAATAAAAGATGTATGTGTGTGAAGCACGGCTTGAAATGTTCAGATTACTGCGGAGGTTGTCACGGTCAAACCTGCAGTAATATCCACACTGTCGAAGACATGGATTTACATGACGGTGACGAAGACGTAGACTCACTTGACCAACATGACTTTTACCTGACCAATAATAGCGCGGATAATGAGGATGATAATATTGATATGGACTATAGCGGGGATGAGAGTGAGGACGAAGACGATAATTTGAATAGATCCAATCAAATGCTAGCGAGCGAGGATACAGACGATTCCGATACTGGCTTATTAGATCCCAAGCGAGCGAAAGTGAATTAAAATTTTTTGTGTAGTGCGCAATTACCTGATTTTTATTTACGTAGTTATGTAAGATTATTTGTAAGATTGTTTCATTGTAAAACTCGAGCGTATATTGTAAATAAATTGTAAATGTATTGTATACATTGTACAGATATTCTGTATATATATTGTAAATAAATTGTGTGATATAAAAAAATTATATATTTTCAAAAATTGACAATAAAATGAATTACAATTCACGAACTACTGTACACCATGCAAAATTCAATTAGATTTTAACAGTATTTGCACTAAAAATCACTATTTGGGCGTGATTGTGTGAGATGAGCAAGCCTTGACCTCGACATTATAGAATATTCACATATCATCAATTTATGTAACAAACTAATATCATTGTTAAAGATTGAAAACATCATTAAATTATAGTGACAATCTTAGCGCGTTAATGAATGAAAATAGAGTAACAGTAGTTTCATATTAATGTTCCTCGCGATTTGCTATGTCGTTTTAAAAAAAAAATCATCAAAATTGGACGATTAGAAGCAAAGTTAAGTAAAGGTAAAGAGCACGCAGCGAATTTGAACTCGACAATTCGACCTTTTCATTTGCATTCAGAGCGCGCTGAGTCATCCCTCCCCACCAACTTTCCCGCTGAAGCGCCGTTTTCACGCGCGCCGACTCTATTTTGTCAATTAATAACGCTTCAACAATAAAAGATGACGTATTTTATTGAACTTGCAAGGAAAGATCTTGGAATAACCTACAAGTCGGTATTTTTTTTTTCGCGATATTGTTGCTCAATATCCTTGCAAAGGCAGCTGACTTTGCAATTTAATAACTCTAGTTTGAATGTACAAAATTCAACGTTTGAAGCATGAAAAGATAGATTTTTCTGAGTACTTTAAGTAGGTTTTCTTAGATTTCAATTATCATGAAAATTCGTAGAAATATTTAATTTGTTATTAAGGTCAAAATCGCCTTTTTTTTTCAAAAAATTCTAAATGTATGTTAAAAATAAAAAAATATATACAAAATTATGAGACATCGTAGTTTAAAGCTTGCAAATTATGTAAAAAATCGTGGCATACGTAAAAAATTTTTGTCTGACTTTACATGACTTCAAAGTGGGTGTAGCTTATTTGCATTATCTTAATTAACATTACAATAACTTAGCAACTAAAACAGGTATCGAGATCGGGTTTACTGCAATCAATTTGTAAAAGATTAAAGTTTCCAGAGAATTGTTCACGAATAAGATGCATTAATACTGTCAATTGCAATTTGTTGTGCAAAAGAGGCATGTTTTTCAGCTTTTTTATTTATGTATTCTAATGCTGCCGACGAGGAAAATTGAATTTTTCAACTTTGAAACACGGTATTCGATAATAAATTGTGCGTTCTACAACTTTGTTCCTGTGCATATATGCCGTTTAATTGATAGTTAACGAGTTAGATCACTCAATGTGTCCAAAAAATCACCTATTTTCGAGTATTTTAGCTATAAACATTTATGTTGCAAAACCCACTAGGAAATTCGCGGCGGAGTTTGTTCCATCCCATTACTACTATATTTTGGCCCCTATCTAAAGAAAAAATAAGGATGTCGCTCTCACATCCATAATTGGACACTTTGAGGCCTAATTCGACTGGACTATCACGTATAAGCCAAGCTTATTCGATCCCAAGTGCTCACTTTGCAAGGCTAGGAGAGATTATCTCTCGCCTGTGCAAAATTGAGCCCATCTATACATAGATTTTAGAGCTCCATTTATGCCGGATAGCCCTTTTCACGCTATTTCTGCAAATGTGCAAAATCGTTTTCTCTTGTTTACAATAAAAAGTACAACGCTAAAGAAAATTTAAACAGTGTAAAATATACAGAATATAATAGAGATAATTTACGCATAATTCGCCATAATTTGCCAGAAATTCTGAAGCATTCAACTAGAAGTGAACTAGAAGAGGAAGAACAGTAAGCGATCAGCAAAAGTATAGTTTTGACCGGTAACACGCGAGCCTACAATCACAAGAGTTAATTTTTGTTTACTCTTTCGCTTTCGCTGCCGTTTTTCCCAAGGGTGTGTGAATATGATTGTTCATCGGCGATGCAGAGAAGACTAAACGAGTGAGTATGATTGGAAGATACAGCAGGAAATGGTGTCGCCAAAGAATCTAGAGAATTGTTGTAAAGCGCTTCCATTGAAATCTTGATTGTTCGATACGATCAATAGCGATGGCTGACTTGTAGGTGTGATCGCTCTCCTTCATTAATACCATCGGTCATGTTTTCATCTATCGCGACAAGGCCCGTAACCAAATATATTGCGTGCATCAATCAATTAGCCCAGTTCCTGCAATCCCATCTCTCTCATTCTCTCTATCTCTCTCGTTAGTGGCATGAAATAAAACAATATTTATCTAGCCAACAAATTTTTATTAATAAAACACAACTAAAACTGAAATTTAAATCATATCCGCAAGTATGGCACCATATTAACTGGTAACGTCAAAACTAAAGATGTATGTTATATATCGGCAGCATTTTTTTTTTTTCAGATAGAATTAGTGGAAATAGAAAGAACACGTGAAAAATAAACAGCAAAATGGATAGAATCATTAAAATCATAGAAATAAGTTAAAATTTAAAACGTTTACTCTATAATACTATATGTGTAAAAATCTTACCTATTGTGGGAATGGTTGTAACAATTTCTCCTAATTTCAGTTTGTACAATATTGTAGTTTTACCAGCAGCGTCAAGTCCAACCATTAAAATTCTCATCTCTTTCTTGCCAAAAAGGCCCTTAAATAATGTAGCAAACATATTTCCCATGATGAAATAATTAACTAAAATACCTGAAACCAAGTATTAACATGCGAATTATAAGATTTGTAAAGTTATTATTGTATCTAAAACAGATTTTTTTCAATTTAACCATTAATCAAATCATTTTATGTAATGTTTATTTGCTTAAATTATTAACAGGACACTTACTATTAATTTATTTTATAAGTAGTATAACAATGTATATTTCAGGCCACCCAGCGGGAGATCCGTAAACCTTTGGACCCCTGTTCTAACCTTTTCATGTTAATAATAATTATTAATGTTAATAATTATTATTAACAATATCTGCGGGGATCCCTGGCTTAGCCTTTTGGTTTCCTGGCCTAATACTTCCATATTAGTTATTATTAATGTTAATAATTATTTATATTTTTTGAAGAAGGCTCCTAGAGTTCCTAGTCCCTAGGGACGCTACCTAGTGCTTTCTGTCTTATTTATTTAAATGTTTTTTGAAAAGTTATAAATATTATTGATAATTGAATGGCTACATTGAAAATGAATAGAAAGCGATAATGAAAAAAATGAAGAGAGATCGGAGAATCGAACCGGCGTCCTCTAGGTTGGCAGGCTAGCGCTTTACCACAAGAGCCAATGCCACATCAACCTTAGAGAATGCTTATTGTGTATATTAGCTACACACATACATTTAGTATAGAGCCCGAGCGTGCGGAGGAGGGGAGCGCGTGTTTATCTTGGCTTGGCGGCGTTCTCTCTCTCTCTCTCTCTCTCTCTCTCTCTCTCTTTCTCACCCTCTGTTTTGTCGCAGGTTTAAATTCTACGTGAAAATGTACGTTGAAATGAAGGAATTTTATGGGATCCGAATGACCCCCACCACACCCCTCAAAGTCATTTTAAGTTTAACCTTACTTTTTTAATGGAAACCCTTATTTCTCACTCCGAATTTGGAAAAAGCAGGAAATTATTCTTCCAGAATAATATTCTAAGGTTTATTTTCGTGACCTTCAGAGGGTTAACTCAAGAGCAAAATTTTAAAAAGTTCGATAGTAATTTTTTTAAGTTCTCTAACGAATCAATCGTTATGAAAGTATCTATTTGAAACATGTTAAATTAAGTGTGACACTGTTGACCTCGAAAGTAACTCAAATAAGAAAATATCGTCCTGTCCCTTCCCCCTTTCCTTCTCCCATTCTCTTCTTTCTACTCCCTCCCTTACTCATCCCTCTCCCTGCCACACCTCTCATATTATCTCGCCCCGCTTTACCGCTCCTTCTCACTTCATGCAATTAGTAATATGATCTCGATCCTACTCATTATTACACCAGCCCTGGATTAACATGTGACGCAATGTTAAAATATACAAATATTAAGCTTGAACTATTAACAGAGATAGATATGAAGTTATTCATCCAAAAAAGTATTCGCGAAGGAATTAGTCAATGCTACAATAGATTTTTAAAGGCAAACAGTAAATAGATGGGAGAAGAATTCAATGAGGATGAGCCAAGTGAAATTTTAATATATTATGACGTAAATAAACTTTACGGTTAGGCTATGACTCAATAACTACCATATGAGGGCTTTAAATAGATTTCAAAATGATGAAATCAACGATGAGTCAAATTTTTTCAATGTCGCCGATGACAGTGACTCTTAGATCTAGAATATCTACAAGAGCTATATGATGATCACAAAGAAATGATCTTTATCCTGAACATACTAGACCGCTTGGATAAAAAAAAACTTTTGACGACGCTTTATAATAAAGAACGATATGTTATTCATTATAAAGCGTTAAAACAGGCTATAAAGTTTGGACTAAAACTCAAACAAATTCATAGAGCGCTAAAATGTAATCACCTGTGTGACTTATCACCTTATGTAGATTTAAATACAGAAAAAATGAAGCAAGATTAAAATGAGCTTGAAAAATTATTTTACAAGCTCATGATTAATACAGTATATAGAAAACGATGGAAGATGAAAGGAAGAGAAAAGATGCCAAACAATTTAATCAGTGAGATGACAGATATGACGCTGAAGCTCGAATTGCATAGCCAAATTTTCATAGCAGTTCCATCTTTCATGAAAATTTAGCAGCTATTCAATTATCCTGGACAACTATCAGTATTAGAAAATTATATACATTGGTTTATGAGGACTAGATCTTTCAAAAACACTAGTCTATTACTTTTATTATGGATATATGAAGCGACGAATTGGTGAAAAATGCAAATTACTCTATACTGATACGGACAGCCTCATTTATTAAATTGAAGACGTCGATATGAATGAGATCATGAAAGCAGATATTGATAAATTTGAAACATCAGACTATCCAGTTGATAATCAATTTGGTATCCGGAGTCTACGGAGTGGGAGAATAACTTTAGATGAAGAATTGTTAGAGAAGGGAGACTGAAAGAAAGTGAAGCCGTGACGGTGGCTTGAGCTTTAAGAGTGGGGTTGCCACTAATAAAACGGAGAGCTTACTCTTGTTCAGTACAGTTGCTCAGCTCTCGCTCAAACAGCAGTCATACCTTCAACCTCCAGTAGATCTACTATCAACCATTGAAACAAGTAAGACATTTAAATAATTTTAGTTTATTAATACACTAATAATAAATAAATAATCAATTAATTCTTTGATTTTTTATCGAATGGATTTCTCATCAATAAACAAGGTTTCAAAGACGGCTTTCCTTCCCCGGAAAGCGATGTCCCAACTTGCACAGGATACTATATACAAAGTTACAAAAGTGAGATGGTTAACAACGAAATATGGATTTTTTATTATTATTATTACTTATTAAAATTAATGATGAATTCGAGGTGTTCCTGTCAAAAAGAGTAAATATAGTTCTTGAAAATGATAAAGAAATGCTGAAAAACCTACACCAAACTAGTGAGAGGGAAGAGCTGTTCATTTTTCATATTGTTGGTTCAAACTTTGAATTTAAAAATAATTGTAACATTATTGAATAATTAATGTATTGAAACCCAACACTGTTGTAATTAACTGCTCTATAATTGAAAAAAAAAATTAATATCTAATCGAATAGTCTTTTTTCCTTTATTTAATGTAAAGGTGACTCATGAGATGAGATGATGACAAAAGGAAGTACCTCATAGGTGAGAGCGAAGGTTAGGGCTCTCACTATTCCTATAACTAACCTTAAGTTCCCAATAGAGAGCAGTCGTTCGAGTCCTAATATATTTATAAGAAGGATGCATAGTTTACGCTACCATCATTCAGTAAGAAGAATCAGCTATAGCAATACTATCCTCTTTTGATTCATCATGACACCTATTAGAAAAAGCAAGAAGAGAATTCATGCTTCGAAGCATGTATGGTTCTCAGATAATGTTCAAATTCACCATCTTCCTATTTAAGACAAAGACTCAAGGAAAGGAGTGTGGGAGCAGCTTGCACGAAATCGAGAACGCTTCCAACGACGTATTATGCAACTAAGTAGGATGGTATCGCGAGCACTATTTAAAAAATGTATAATAATGATGAATCATATTCTTGAACTTATACTAAAAAATCAATATACAGTATATGCACTTAACAAATTAAAAATCTAAGTGGAGGTGGAAGAAGCAGCAAGTGAAGAGAGGTGATCGTTGCAGCTCGAAAAATGTCTAGTAGTAGTAGCAGTAGGGTCAAGGTCTCAAGAGAGAGAGAGAGAGAGCTGGAAATAAGTTTCTTTTAAGTATATTATTGTAGTTTTCTTTGTATTATTTATATTGTAGCTTTGTAAAAAGGTACTTTGTCATTAATTAATTTTTTTCGTGCCAGGATATCGTTCTTTAAACATGATAAGATTGAAATCAAAAAATATTTTACGTTTAATATGTCAAAGATTTGATGGTCTTAAATTGTAACGGGGTAGATAACCGTCTTTTTATTTATGCGCGCGATCGCATCGAAGAGCGCGCGGGATTATCTAAACGTTCAAATTCGAAAACCGGAGAGCAGGAGGGACCGGTATCAGTCAACCAACCTTCTACTTGCGCGACATAATAACATCAAAATTACAGTCAATATCACATGCGAAATCGTTTATTTCCTCTTATCTCTACAATGTATTCGGCCCGCGTGTTTATGTTTACAAAGCGCGCGCGCGACAATAACATGCAGTGTCGGATCGCTCGCCGCTCTTTGTTCGCCGAGTTAATACATGCACACTTCTTATGGAGTACGAGAGATTAGTTATTAGCAATCATAGCAATCGCGATACTAAGCTGGTCAGCTTACCTTATTAGCAGTCGCACAGTGAACAAGAGAAAAAGTTCGCACTCTAGCTTCGGGAAAGTCTGTCTTTGGGACGAGGTATCGCGCGTTTTCGATTTCGCCCTCGATGGCGAAACCCCTCACTCACACACACTTGCACGCACTCGCTCTGGTCTGGCTCAGGCACCGCTCCTCTCGATGGATTCAATCGACTCGTCTCAGCACTCGAAGAAAACTCGGGAAAACTCTCATTAATATTTTCTGCAGCTGAGTGTAGGGGTTCTAATCTTCGACTGGTTCATTTATATTCGCGCGCTTTCCGTCCCGGCTCGTGCTGAATTCCCTCGTTACATTTTTCCCCAACCGGCAGGTGCTGCCCTCGCAGGCAGCCGTGTGGTTGGGATGCTAGCGCTAATGGGACGTTTACCGTCACAGAATATAATATAGATAGTATTATTACATTTGAAGAAAAAAAATTTATAAATAATTTAGAAAATTTAATAAAAGAAGCTATTGACGTAGATCTGTTTGTAGAAAGTTTCAATACTTTAACGTTTTCGAACAAAAATGAAATTCCTGAGCCTTTAATGGTTGAAGAACAGTTTGAAGATGATATATTGATGTAAAATTTGGTAAAAAATCTAGAAAAATATGCATAGATCTAGAATACAAAATAAATGCAGTTAATTTTTGGTGTAGTAACAAATACGGACCTCTTAATTTTAATATGGTGCAACATACTTTTAAATTAGTGAAACGTGTCCAGCAATTATACAGTTGGAAAAAACAAATTAGCGAAGGAGGAAGTAGGCT